GAGATGGAACGAATTCACGTGGAGCGATGAAAGGCTTGAGGCATGATGGATGTACAAACCAACTCCATCCCAAGCGGATCTGGACACACTGTGGTCAAACGACCCGAATCACATCAACCGGCCCTCTTTAGGGTTTGAACCATTTTGGCGACATACCCACCAGTACCTGTGGACAGTGCAAGCAGGCTCTGCGCCCAGGCGCCCACTCATGTGAAAAAGCACGGAAACCCCTTGCCAATTGGCGCGAATTGGAATTTACCATGGAAGCTTCCCGCGCTTCGGAAAGCTTTTGAAGGGAAAAGCGCACGGAGTCAGAAATTTTAGATTTAGCCTTGTTGGGCGCATAACTGAACATCAATCGGAGGGTCGTATTCTCTTCCATAAATTTAAAAAAACGGTGAGGAGCCGGTGGATGCGTGAGGGGCCATCCTATATGCAGATAGGACTCTGGGAATATGCAAATCCCAGTGGAGTTGGGACTCGTTGACCTGATGGCACAACATGGAGGTCAGAGTCCTGTGCAGCCGCTCAACCATGCCATCCGTCTGCAGGTGGTACGGTTACATGCGTACTTTCTTTGTTCCCAACAAATCGCACACCTCGCGCAACAATTTAGAAGAAAAATGTTTGCCCTGATTGGTCAGAAGACGTTCGGGAGCACCCTTGTCCATCGTATAGCCATTGAGTGATCGTCACCGCCGACTGGCTGGGGAGCGGCCAGGCCACAGGCCATCGTGAAAAATACTCAACTCCCACTAGCAAATGCTTATTCCCACGAGGGGTAGTGGAAAATGGACCAAGGATGTCCAGAGCAACTAGTTCATTTATGCGGGAAACCTGAATCGATTGCAATGGTGGACAACAGGGGTTCGCCAGGGGCTTTCGCCGCGCGCACTGCACACACCCCTTCAACAAATTAGCGCCAGGCCAGAAGAAGTCCAACTTAAGTGTGGCCAACGTCTTATGCACACCCAGGTGCAACAGGCGCTCGTGTACTGCCCAAATGACCTTACCCCGCAGGGCATTGGGCACAACAATGTTATAACGGCGCAACCCTCCGTCCCAATGCATGAGCAATCTGCCCTGAAGATTGACAGAGGTGACACCCCGTTGATCCCCACCCCCATCAGTCTCTCTGACACGGCGTCGCAATTTAAGCAGGGAAGCGTCCTCAACCTGGAGGCACCCCCATTCTTCCTGGTCCAACCCAATGACGGCGTAACGCGCCACCGGACCCTCGGCCACCTCAGATGTTACAACCTCGGCCGACGCCGCAAGAGGAGGGGTCGAGTGCTCGTTGGGCGGCTTACAGTGCCCGTAGCCTGAAAAACACGCGCACCCACCACTCGTTGGTAATCGCGACAGGGCGTCAGCGTTCGTGTGTCGGGAGCCTTTGAGATAGGTAACATCAAAGGAGTAGTCCTGTAGGACCTCCAACTAGCGTGAAAGTTGGCCAGACGGCTGTTCAAAACGCAGCGTATACTGTAGTGCTGCATGGTCAGAGCGCACCTCAAAGCGTCTACCATACAAATAGAGGCGATACTGTTGCACAAAAACCACAATAGCTAACAGTTCCCGGCGTGTGACACAGTATTTTTGTTCGGCCGGAGACAGCACTCTGCTACCGTATGTAACAACACTCTCGACGCCATTGACAACTTGAGACAGAACAGCTCCAATTCCGGTGTTACTAGCGTCTGTATCAAGGACGAACGGCAAGGAAAAGTTGGGGTAGCCAAGGGGAGGGGCGTTCACCAAGCCATCCCGGAGCGCAGCAAACGTGGCCTCCTCCTCCCCCCATTGGAATTTATGACCCTTTGCCATCAAGGCGTGGAGAGGTTTAGTGATGGTAGCGAACCTGGTGACAAAACGGTGGTAATCGGACGCGAATCCTATGAAACTGCGCACCTCCCCCACCGACGTGGGGGTCGGCCAAATTCGAACACACGCAGTTTTGTCTGGGTCAGTCGCAATATCCGATTCACTTACTATTTGGCCAAGATACTGAACTGATTTCTGGAGGTGATATTCCTGTGGTTTAAATTTCAGGTTGGCCGCACGCATTTTTAGAAAGACGGCGCATAGCCGTTCCAGGTGTTTGTCAAACGTACGGCTAAAAACGATAACAGCGTCGAGATATATCAAGCACGAGTCCCACTGGAGACCAGCCAGACCCAGTTCCATTAATCGTTGGAACGTAGCCGGCGCGGAATGAAGGCCCATCGGAAGCCGATTGAATTTGAACAAGCCCTGTGGTGTACAAAAGGCTGTTTTGGGCTTAAAGACTTCGTCTAGTGGCAACTGCCAAAACCCGGATAGGAGATCAAGAGTGGAAAAGAACCATGCTCCTGCTAGAGCATCTAGTGAGTCGTCCATTTGAGGTAGAGGGTACGCATCAGCAACAGAGATCTTATTAAGCTTGCAGAAGTCAACAAAAGCGCAAGCTACCATCCTGCTTTTTAACGAGTACAATTGGGGCTCCCCACGAGCTGGTGGACTGGTGAAATAATATCCAGGAAATGGCGGTGGGAACATCGTCCCTGCGCGGCTCCGTTGCTCCCTTTTCCATCGCTGGTTACGCGAGGTGGAGCTCCACGAGGATGGATGCCGCTGCTTGGAGGAGCTCTGCGAGGTGGGCATGTGCTGTCTGGAGCTCCCTCCCCACCGGCAATGAGCTGTGCCCGGTCGGTGCTCTGCTCCACCGACAGCGCTTCGCCTCCATCCTCCGGGGTCGCCATCCCCAGGGTTGTTTGAGGGATGAGATCTTCATCTTCGTCGTCGGACGTCCTGGTACATAGTCTGCGTTGCGTAGACATAGTCTAAATGGCTAGCTAAGTAAATTAGCGTTTGGCCACTTCCGACACCAGTTGTAGTGAGTTCAACTAAGTTACAGACGCACTCTTTAAAGGCAACACATTTATTGATACCAACACAAAGGGGTAACAACCTATGGTGATGGGCCACTCTTCTTGGACGTCAAATGTAGATTCTTCAAGATGACAACAACAACGCTGAACCCCGGTCCCTCTGGGGACCCGGCTTATATCCTCACTGGTCGTGGCTGGCTCCGACCTTGGCCACGACCACCTTCTCGAATCCTCTAGCAGGATCCCACCCCCCGACACGTGACCACCCTTAGCCCCCACTTGGGGGCCCCTGTGTAGACTCTACCAGTCACGTGTCCTCCGGGGTCAACCAGAGTGCCACGGCCTATAGTAACCCCATTCCATGGCTGACACTCTGTCACTCCATCCTGTAGGGTTCGGCACTGCACGCCGAGCGTGGTGCCACTCAGCGCTATCCATCAGCGCTGATCGAGCCCCTCCAGGGCCGGTACTACACCCACATATACTGGGGGTCCGGGATGTCAATACATCGCACGCCGTGCCTCTCTAGGGCCAGCATTACACAGTGACGTCCGCGATGTCACTACATTCGAAATTTAAATGATCTTTTGTGATTTTTTTCTCCACTGAAGAAATGTTTGATTCAAATAAACCACGAGATATGATAAAACGACAACTGCTTAAAATAACTAAATAGGACAACATTTTAACCTCTACGCAGTCATTATATAAAGTATATAAATTATGTTAATCAACAATATTTAAAACTGCCTTTGTTTTAAATAGTGGTAATTAGAATATTTTCTATGCTGTACCCAGACAATAAATACATCTATTGGACATAATGCTAAGTGGCTGAAATGTCTATTACTGTCATATCATCGAGCTGAATATTAATTTACGGATTATCGACATCTTTTCAGACTTTATAATCAGTTAAAACGAATCACTTTTCAATTATATTTCTCGTATTGTAATTTACCTTATTTAATCATTCCTCCCAGCAAAGCACGCCTGAAAAGAAATAGCGTACCTTCGCAAACTGGTTGACCATCTACAGGCTGAGTGTCTCGTGTATGTGAGCGCCTTTAATTGCACGGGAAGACGCAAGGGTATGGATGCACATGAGAGTCTTGTCACAGCAGCGATATTGATCCTTCGAGTAACCTTTCAGCTGCCAGCCCCACTTTAGCTCAGGCAAGGTGCATTATCCCTAATATACTTATCCTGTCTCGCCGAATTACAAAATGGCGTGGCAAATAACGTGAGAGGGAGAAGGAGGGCTTTGCAAAAATGAATGCAGAGTAGCAGGGGCGAGTGCATAACTTATTCAAGCAGGGGAAGAACACATTGATTTTCTTCATACAGACGAAGTGACATTGTCAGGAGGCTACAAAATCCGGCAACAAGACGGCCTTCATCGACTGAGCTAGGAGGGTTGGAAAGTTTTGGGGTCTGTGTGTGCATCATTTTCTCTCTCTTCTGCGTCGTCCATAAATTGAATTAACCAGCAACTCCCGTTATTCGGTCGCTTTACCTGAGCGCGTCTGTGATGAGATCTCTGCTCTTTTCGGCTCAGTGGCGAGGGAGATGTTTAAAGGGGCATTGGGTTCTGCTCTAGACAAATATAATGAGATAGCACCATTAGGGAAGTAAGCGTTGCAGGCATCGAAAGCACTGGCATTTTTTCCGTAAATACATATATATAACAATTAATCACAATTTATCAATATATTATATTTTATATACAGTACATTTTCAGTACATGTGATAAATAACCATGAATATTACTACCATGTAGGTATATGTGGTTCTGCTGGATGGCTCTCCGCTGTGTTTTCGGGTTGCTCCACGCGAAGCTACCAGCACGGTCCACGTATTGGTAGCTTCCAATCCATTTCCTGATGAAGCTCCCAGCACATGGAGGGAAACATCGGACTTCGTGCTGAATATATCTCAGTGAATACAACCCATAAAAATATATGAAAGCCACCTTAAATCTTTGTTTTTAATATTTTTTAATGCATACGTTGTGAGCGCATGATAATGCAGCGTGACAATTTGTTGGTTTCAATGTGAATTTCTAGAATGATGAGGTACATTGATGCCTTCATTGACGTATTTTTTTTTTGTTTTTCTTTGTTTAATCTTCAGTTTGTCGGTTTGGGAGGTAGTTGATGAAGACACGGCTGACTGGTAATACCCATGGTAGGTACTACACAAACATCACGATGCACATTACTTATTCTTGGTCAAGTGTGGGGACTAAACTGCATGCCAATTAGTGGTTATCCACTGCAGTCTACATATGCCAAGTGATACCGTCTTGCGAATTCAAGATTTTACCAAATACCAGATGATCTGGAATTAAGGATATATAGCTACCATGTGCTATGCTGTAGAAATAAAGTAACTAATTGTGGTAATTTTACTGATTTAAATTGGTAATGTTGAGTTTTTATTTTATTATAAGATATTTAAATAAAATTTCAGTTGCATTTGCATGACATTTTCTCAACGTACTTTGGTTAAACTGCATTTTTATATGTCTAGGAGCAAAATGTCAGTAAAACTAAATTGGATAAATTTAAAATACTGACTAAAATACACTTCAAAATTACGTACCATTTCCGGAAAGGATTAATTGTTAACATTGACAATCCCACAGGGAAAACTACTATTCTCTCAAATTTTTCTGATCGCATGAGTTGTGTAATCAAAAAAATGCCACGGAGGCATATAGCTAGACGGTTGTTGTACACGGAGACCACGTGGCAATGCATCCGTGCATGTTCCGTCTCCAAGCAGGTATTGCTCAACTTCAATCTTCCACCGGCCACACTCCCAACTTTTCGTTGTTCGTAATTTTTCTACTCGTATGCAAGTGAAGCAACACTGCGGGGGGGGCAAGGTGGGGGGAGGGAGGGATGGGCGAGGCTGGGCTTCCAGGGTGACTCGCGAGGGCCGGAGTTGAGGATCCACGTCGGTGTTACAAAAGAGGCAATGTTCCACACGTCCAAATAAATCAAAAAGCTCAACACCTTCATCAGTAGCATTGCCTAAAAATTAAAACAAAAAAGCGATGTAATAGGTGACGTATCGGGTAATGGTCCTTTGTCATAAGCACGTAAAATAGCACATAATTTATGTGCTATGAAGGAGGGGCATTGACAGAGGTTTTGCCTGTTATATATTTTCCTTATAATGCCACGGTGTTATTGACGAATCTTTTGAGTTTTTTTGTAAACTCTACATGAGCGCCACTGCCAATGTAGCATCGCCAAATGTGTCTCGCGATATGTGTGTTTCGTCTGCTGGTGAAAGGATACCGACAGACTGAGAAACACAGATGTAGAGCGTGCGCGTGACTGCAGACGATGTGATTGCATGACACGGCGGAATGCAGGCTTACACATCCCTGGGAGATGGGGGTGCTGGCATTCCAGGAGGACGATGGACCTGGGATCAAAGGCTGGTAGGTAGCTCAGAGTGGCACTGCACGCTTCGATCTTCTCACACGCAAAAAGGGTTTCCAAGGGAGCATCATATTATCACGAATCACAGTTGAAAATAGTACCTATTGATAGAAAACCATCACTTCTAAAGTGTTTACTGCCAGGGCTTAGGTGACATAAAAATGACTTTCAGTGCTACAAAAAAATGAATTTCCCCCTTTTCTGTCTCTGTTCACATTACTTCTATCACCCACACCATCAGCATATCCTTTTGTGTTCTCGTTCCTACATAGTAAGTTAAAAATGCGTAAACATGAATGCTCATTAAAATTCACATCCCCTTTATTCATCAACTGCTGAATGAAGGCCTCACTCTGCCTTTGACATTAGGCCACGCTGGTGAGCGCGGATTAGTTGTTAGAGATTTGGCCAAGCGATGGTTCGGTTCTTACTCACCACTGATGTTTGCTGTTCTTGGGAATCAAAGTCAGGTCGCTTGGTTCATGCGTGGTGTGTTAACCGCTTCTTCCACTGATGTAGCGAGGCAAATATAGATAAATGAATTAGCAAGAAAAAAGGGCATTCAACTCACCTGAGAGAAATGCATGTAGAATCAACCTTAGCCGGTACGCACGTAAAACCATAAACCACAGGCATCGTGGTGTGTTGCGAACATTTGTCCTTGTCAGTGATGTAAGGTGGAGGCTGCCTGCTATGCTATAATCCAGAGCTCCAGGCAACGTGTACCTGTTTATTTTTTTTCTATTTTTGTTGCGTTATAAGAACAGACTGTAAATGTACTCGTGTGAAGCATTGCTTAGTGACTTTACCTGAAAACTCAACTCTTGTAACCCCCCAAGTCAGATTTTTTTTCCTACTGAACATTCAATAATAGCCAAAATAATAATAATAATAAATTATTTGAAATTGTTCCATTTCGTATGGGTTGCAGACTGATGCACAAGATCAATGTTTTTATTTTAACAATGTATTATTTTAACTCGAAATGTAACATTCATCATTAGCTATTGTCCCATCCACAACCGGACGAAGGACTCCCCATGTTTGTATGTCAAACTTTTTTTACACCGTACATAGCCAAACGTGATAATCGGATGTGCGGGGGGAAGGACAACAAACTAAACACAAAAAGCAGTTCTAAAGAAGTTATTTTCATTCTAGATTTAAAAGTGCATAGCTCCAGTGGCTTCTAATATCAGAAGGAAGATGTTACCATGCCGTTGCCATACCTTACAGTCCAGTTCTTCTGTTACCATCCATTGGACTCTTGAACATTAACTAATCTTATCACTCCATTTCCACGATGGTAATCTTCTTGGAAACGGTCTCTCATTTTCGCAGCCATTCTGTCACCAGTCTCATCCATTAATCATCAAGTGTCCTGGGCAAGCCTTTTTACTTTTATTAATGTAAAGTGTACAATCAGTGCGTACTGCTAGCTGTGATGTATAGGTCAAACACATGGGGATACTTCCAAAGAAAATGGAACAAAAGATGAAGAGGGCACAAATAAGTGTGGATAAGTACACAGTTGGAATTACACCGAGAGACAGAAAAAGGAACACAATCAGGGAACAAACATAAATTATATACGACATTGACAATAAAGAATGTAACATTTTTAATTTACGTAAGATTTTACTTTATAAAACATTTTTATCACAGCTGTGTGTACCACAGTGAATGTTAATTCACAACACCAATGATAAACATTGTTTAAACACCCACACATATATTATCTTCTGTTTTTGTAATACGTTTAATATAAAAAAAATATGCCTTTTATTGCAAATCAAAATGGGTTTAATAAGCTTAAGAACTTATCATTTTTGAAGATTGCATTTATTGAGCAGTTGGTTTTATTTTCTCATACTCAGAAAAATATATATCTGCAATGTACACAGCTTAGCGTCAGAAGTCCCGCTCTACGTGGTATTTGTGAGTTACTAGGAGACACAAAGCAATAAAGTTTGATTGATCTATCAATGCGGGACTTGTTGGTCATTGCCACGAGGAAGCTCACAGAATAAAAAAAAGCCATATTCCTCATGCCATTATTGACTCTGTAAGATAAAGCATCTACATTTTTAGAAGATGTTACCCCTGTCAATGTCAATCTTGGGAATTCAGGTTTTTGTTAAATTACATTTTAAATGTTTAGTTTGGATAAAAATTGAAATACCCGTGCATCACTCTTGTTAAAAAGTAAAATAATACAACGTATCCTATAATTGTTTTCCATAAACTATATTAATGTTGCGTAAAGGAAATTCGAATATTTCTCGTCACACATCGAATACAGTATTTCGCAAATATACACGGACTCACCAACTAATAAACGTTACTGCTGCGTGAATTCTAGTGCACACACTACAACATATGGCCTTGCAAGCTTTACAGGGCGCGTTCATTCCGACGTGTTGTGTCTTCAGGATGCCATGATCTCTGAGCATCATCATCAGCAGCAGCAGCAGCTGAGCAGGAAAGCCTTGCCCTTGGGCTCCTCGCTTCTCTCCTCCGAGCCCGGGGAGCGGAGGAGCATCTTCGGCAGTCTCACGGGCGCCGAAATCCAGAGCTCCCTGCTCGCAGCTGCCGAGAGGAGAGCCGTCTTCGGCATGCAAGGCGAGGCCCCGGCTGCCCTGGCCATGGAAGCCGAGAGACGAGCGCTGCTTGCGGGCTGTCTCATGGAGGCACGAGACCCGCTGTTCGGTGGTGGTGGCATTAGCGGGGAGGGCCGGGCGGAGGCAGAACGTCGTCTCGAGCAGGAATTGAGGATCCTGGCGGCCGGTGGAGACAGAAGCTGCGCGGCTCGGGGTCACTCAGGCTCCGCCGAAGGTCACGATGCCACGGCTCTGCAGGCCGGCGAGAGGCACGAACCGGAGCAGAGTCCAATGCACCTCAAGGAGTCGTCGCTCATGGCAACGAGGTCCGATGACAGCGACCAAGATGGCAGTATGACACCAGACACAGGTAAGCATGGAACAAATAAACGCTCTTGCGGTTTTGTTTTGTGAAATATCACTCGACCTTAAATATTTGCACTGTTTTCAACGAACAAATCTTTTTTGTCGGGTTTATAAAATTGTTGCAAGTGATATTTGGAAATAAATATCACTTCATACCATATATATTGTATATCTTCCTTTATGCGATTTCATAAGTGTTTAAAAAATCGTATACTTCTGAATCACTTTTATATTCAAAAAGAAGTGAAAAAAACCATTTTAAAATCATTGATTCTTTCGACCATTTTCGCACAAGTGAAAGGACATGGGAAAATAAAGCGATGCATTTCACTTTAAGTGCTACATTCAAATGAATACCAGCAACCAGGACACGAAATGCATCTAAAATGTATGGCTGATGGCGTTTGCAAAACAGAAAAGAATATCGAGATAAACAAAATTTCCAACTCATGTTCGTTTTATGAAATAAGCACTTTCAATACCAGAAATAAGCACTCTCAGTGCTTGTGTGGACACATTCCGAGGCTCCTTCCATACTCTCAGTGATGAACTTTATTGAAGGCCAAATGTTTTGTGAATGGAACGAGGAAATAGCGAGGACCTTGGATGTAAAATAACTGCATGTTGGCAGGACAGTGTGACCAGTGTGGTCGTATGAGGGAGCACAGTGGAACGACCCTGAAGCGAAGTGTTTGTGCTTCCTTTCGCAGGTTTTACTGTATTTGTAATTGCTTGCCCGGCAACAGCACTTTTCATTTTATATACACATTATACGCGCACTTACAGGTGCGCACACATAGGCATGCGTGTGCACATATGGCTATAATGCTAACAAAAAGAATTCCACCCATGGAGGAATTTATGTGTGCTTAAAGAAAAATATGTCACGGCCCAAGTGTGACGCCACTGTTGAAAACGATCCATAACAGCGGAGGGGGCCAGGTGGCCAATGCCAGAGAACTCGGCTCACACCGCTTAGATCCTGAGTTTGAATCTAGGTAGCCACCCAAAATCTTTTTTTAAACTGGGTTCTCATCCTGATCATTTTAAATCTGTTTATGTCACTTATTCCAGCTTTACATGGAACGGTTCGATGCCCGATTCACAAGGATTAAGGAGGCATCACGGTGATACACTACTGATACAAAATATCTAGCTCAACCACCTCAATGTAAAATTATAGTTGTTGGTCCAAATCAACATCAGCCATGTGAGAATTAACATTTTCTTCTGCATGATATGGACACACTTTCCAGGGCCTTATAAGATAAATAAGTCATTCTTAAACATCATCAGTTGGTATTCTTAGGTTTTTTTCGGTTAAGTCACGTAAGTAAAACATCAAAATAAAAATAAAATAAAAATAAAAATCACGACGTTTCGGAGGCAACACAAGTCTCCGTCATCAGGTGGGACCGTCACAGCCGAATTAGCTGCATCAAGTGAAGCAATGATTCAAGATGTAATCCCTTATAAGCAAGTTGAAGGGAAGTGGAGAGGGGGGGGTTGGAGACTTGTGTTGCCTCCGAAACGTCGTGATTTTTATTTTTATTTTGATGTTTTACTTACGTGACTTAACCGAAAAAACCTAAGAATATGAATCTTTGCAGTCACGAAAGCTTCAAATCTAGAATCATCAGTTGGGTCTGTTCTCTGAGAATACTGACTGTCATAGTACCAAATGTATATATATTATTGCATACGCAAACATTACTGCGAACAGCGGAAACAATTTCCACGCCTATCTGTGTTTCCGTGGCTCCTTGTACCACCATTTGTCAATGTCCTAGATTTAGATTTTGGGATGGTGAACGGGTGGCGGCAAAACCAAACGCGCTCCACGGAGCTCTTTGCTGGTGCGGGAGCGAGAGCTTTCCGACGTGCCACGCTTTATGGAGCGGGAGCTGTCAGGGGGCGTTCGATCGCTATTGATTTTCCAATCGCCCAGCGCTTTACTTCGCTTTGCATACATCTGCGGCGAGTAAGCACTGCGAGTTATGACTCCCCCGAGGGGCCCACGGGAGCGATTTAAAAATGAAAAGTTGTGGCGTGCCGACAATTTGGCAGCATCCCGCCAAACTGCTCCAACTAAACGTGAGGCTAAAAGTGCGGTTTCAAGGCCTTAAATACTACACAATAAAGACATTTAATGGATACGGTGTACATAAGTAGTGAACGTTGTTGATGTTCATTCTGATAATTGTTTTTTTACCCTTCTATCTGGCAACAAAACTGACACCTTTTTTACAAGGAGTCATGTTTGCATAGACCACAATACCTGCAGTCATAATGCAAACAAAAACATAACTCTGATAATGTGCATTGTCCTTGAAGTTGATTGGTCCACACCCGAGACAGCTTTCCTTAGAGCCTAGTCTCGCATGGTTTGGACCAGATGTCCGCATTATCAGAGTTATGTTTTTTTTTGCATTATGACTGCCGGTATTGTGGTCTATGCAAACATGACTCCTTGTAAAAAAGGTGTCAGTTTTGTTGCCAGATAGAAGGGTAAAAAACCAATATTTTTTACTGGCAAATGAGGTTCCAATGGTGTAGATGTTCATTCTGTCAAACAGTTTTGCCGTGTTTCATAATAATTACAGTAATACATGTGTTTTTTTAATATATATAATTAATTTGGCCATTCATATTAAAACTTAATGCTGCACAACTTGTTCCTCATATTGCCTATGGTGATTTTCTCAGTCCGCACTATCCAATATAAAGAGAACTCCTAATATGAAGGAAAAAAACTTTTTTTTTTATTAAATGGGAAGCCTCGTTGTGGGCGGTGGCTCAGAGGTTAGAGCACTGAGCTGGCACTGCTGAGATTCTGGGTTTGAATCTGGGCAGCTGCCTGTGATTAAACTCTGGGTTCTCAAGTTTAGTAGTAAAATAAAAATGGTTTCAAACTGGTTACCAACGACTGCCCAAAAGGAGATTACACGGCATATGGTAGAGATTTACTCTTTGGTTCTTTCGGTAAAGTCACGTAGGTATAAAATAAATCACGACGTTTTCGGGCGCAACACAAGCGTCCGTCATCAGGTGGGAAAGCATGGCCTGCTGCTGATGCAGACTGATGACGGACGCTTGTGTTGCGCCCGAAACGTCGTGATTTATTTTATTTTATACCCACGTGACTTTACCAAAAGAACCAAAGAGTATGGATTCCTGCAGTCGCGAAAGCTTCAAATCATGGTAGAGCTTCTAAAATGTGCCTTTTGAAAACTGATGCAACGGCCAAGGCAAAAGCTTGCGCTATATCAGTGCGAGGGAAACTATTCTAGCTCACGTTCTGATAAAGCAAAGGCTCTCTTTAATCTTACCCCGAGGAAACACAACAAACTATAGACTGCTCACAAGCATTGAAACCTAGCTTCAGCCTCTGGGAATTCCAGATTGACGCTGTTGTTCTACCAGCCTCACACTTGTGTCATATTGTCAGATGTTCAGTTTTGTTCCCAGTAAGGTTTTCTCCAGTCAAACTAGGGGCCCACCAGATATAAAAAAACACAAGTCTATAACTCTAGGCTGAAGCTCCAACACTGAATAGTTTGTGAATGATAATAAGAACACCTTTGTGAAGCTCCATATGAAGAGTTATAAAATAACCCTGATGCCTTAAATGTAATTCTTTGTAAAACTGCAGTCGTACTGTCATGGGATCTTAAAAGTGTTCTGACATTTATATACTTGATTTATGTTATGGTTCTATGCTAATTTTCCATTTAAAAAAATTCTCTGTAAATAATCGTGAAGAAAGTTTTTCAATAATTTTGGGAACTTGTATTTAATGTTTAATTAGTGTGCATGTATTGACAATAATGAGTGCTTTATAATATAAGTGATATAAAATGTTTTATGTTCACCGGAAAGTACACTGTGGCATTTCATTGTATTTAATGTTATCCATATTTAAAATTTCAATTTTATGGCTTTTGTTAGAAGGCCTCTGTGTCTGAGGAGGAGAGAGTGTTATTTGAGTCATTGTTGAGGGGTTTCCTGGAGTAGCTCCATTTACGTTTGTAAAACAAATACTCACGCAAATTAATTTAGCACAACGTTGAAATCGAAAAGGTATACAGGGTCATGAGTGACTTAATATTCATATATGCCCATTTGGCCAACTTGTGCACTGCAAGAGGCCGTCATTAGGCAGCGCTAACTGAGCTAGTGCAAGACATTTACAAAACTATGAATCGTACGATTCAACCACAGGGCACACATTTAGTGATCATTCCCACAAATCCTGGATTGGCATAGTTAGCAGCCAAATGCTTCCCTTTGCAAGAACATAATTCGTTCCTGAGACCCGTTAGTCAGTCAGATGGTTCGTAAGTCGGAAGACAATTTAATGTATTTAAATGCCCTTACGGTCAGTGTTATGGAACGTATTATGGATTTACAAAAAAGGGAAGCATTGTTAAACTCATAAATAAGAATAAAGATTGTACATTTGCATGTAACACTGTAAAACTACTGGAGAGTAAATAAAACAATAAATGAAGTAACATATATAGAAAAAAAATCCGTTTAATTTTCATTTACCTTGAGTCCTGATGGTGGCTTGCTTGTCGAAAGGGGCGCAACGAGTCACTACAATTACACACACACGGGACACGCGTGCACACACAAATGCAAAGATCCCCCGTGTAACCTTAACAGACTGTTGGGGCAAGTGCTGTTAGCGAGCACCAATGCAGGCCGGCACGAGGGGTGGGTGGCCAGCATCACGCCCGGCCGCCTTTGTCTCCCCAGTGGCGATGTTTATACACCACACCAGGTACTCATTTGAGGCTGAGTCTTTAGCTAGGGGAGGCCCAGGACCGATTCAAATAATTGTCACCGGTGGTGGCCGTGAGGGGGAATCAAATTCGGGTCGCCGGGTTCATAGCGCAACGTGATAAACGTTGCACTACCACTTCCCGCACACACACGCACTCACTTTCACACACACTCATTTTCACACACTTACTTTCGCACACACTCATTTTCACACACTCACTTTCGCACACACTCACTTTCACACACACTCACTTTCACACACACTCACTTTCACACACTCACTTTCACACACATTCACTTTTACACATATATCACTTTCACACACGCATTCACTTTCACACGCACTCACTTTCACACACACACACATTCACTTTCACACACACTCACTTTCACACACATTCACTTTCACACACACTCACTTTCACACACATACTCACTTTCACACATATTCACTTTTACACATATACTCACTTTCACACACGCATTCACTTTCACACACACTCACTTTCACAAACACACATTCACTTTCACACACACTCACTTTCACACACATACTCACTTTCACACACACTCACTTTCACACATATACTCACTTTCACACATATACTCTCTTTCACACACACTCACTTTCACACGCACACTCACTATCACACACACACTCACTTTCACACACACACTCACTTTCACACACACACTCACTTTCCCTCACACTCACTTTCACACATATACTCACTTTCACACACACACTCACTTTCACACACACACTCACTTTCCCTCACACTCACTTTCACATACACTCTCACACACTCACTTTCCCTCACACTCACTTTCACATACACTCTCACACACTCACATGCAAAAACACTCACTGCCAGCGCGAGGCTGACTCGTTACATCTCGCGGAGGATTGCTCTGCTGAAGAACATTGTCCCGCGGTTCAGTTTGCAGGTGCGAATGTGCCTTTTAAGTCAATTAATTAGTTTTTTTTATATTTAATGGAAGCTGATTCATAACTGCGGGTGTTCGTAAGGCGGGTGCGCATAAGTCGAGGACTGCCTGTAGAAATATCTTGAGTGTACACCGAACACTATTTTCAGTTCGACTTTTAGGCACTGCAGGCCAAAATGCTAAAACAAATTATCGGTTCCAACCGGAGTTCATTACTATGTGAATAAAGACTCGGATAATTTTCTGCCTGGTTGCACACCTCTGTTATCTGTAACGCGCATGACATATACTGTGATTCCCATTTGCATCGCATTCATGTTACGCTCTTTTTTGTATGTGTACAGCAACGCAAAGAAGTCATGCCACGTTACCGAACCCTGCGATGAAAACTTGGCACTCGCAATGCCTTGTCAAGCAATTCTTGCTTTAAAAGTTTTGCCTGCTAAGCTTTAAACAGTTTTGTTTCGCTATTCCTCCAGTTTTTTCTTTTATTATTATTATTTGGCACCTAAAATTCCTGTCTTACCATTGCATTTTGTTTTGGTATGGTCACTGCATTTGAAACAGCTTTGATTTAGTTTTAACCCTTGGTCAGCGGAGGAGAAAATAAAGTGCACACACTTAAGTTGGCTTGACATGAGTCCTGGAAAACATGAATAATTCGATAGTGGGTCCATTAACAAGCCACCCCATTTCACGGAGCATTAGACTGCTTTTTTGTGGGTGGAGAGAAGAATTGAAAGTTTAGTTTTTTCAGTGTTTAAGTGAACAGGCTGGGAAAGTGTGATAAATTGCACAAGGTACTCCCGTGTCCCATTGCAGGTCACAAAAGTGATTGAAAATTCAACCTGGTTAGTTGTTAGGTACTCCTCAGATGATTTATTGTTTCGGGTTCCTTGCTGCATTTTTGCATTATTGTATTTTGCTCTGGAATGTTTACGAACAAAATTTCAAATGTGTCTTAGGTCATGTTATTAAAAAAACACATTGAAGTATTCCACGCAATAAAAAATATTGTTTCTTCATTTTATCATGAAACACGTTATCATCGGTGTACATTAGCATGTCCATGATACATTTAATGCCACATCAATGCATTTTCAAATATGTTTGCGTTTACGCTTTTTGAAAAAAAAACACTGCTCGGAGAGTTAGAGAGGATTTTAGTACAGATTGTTGGCGCTCATAGCATTACACAGTTATAACATATACATTACAACAAATGTAAACTATAGTCAAGTTAGCACTGTAATATTAAAAGACAGGCATGTAATAATGCATCAATGTATCACTGACAGTTGATTCCTATGCTCACAACACGTGCGTTGAATTATGCGTGCAAGAATCTATTACAGTGTTCACAATGTATGCACATTGTGTACGAATTAAATTCTTCTGTCAAATTTTATTGAAAATAATTCACCAAATGTGTACAAATGAGAGCAATTAAACTTCAAATGAGATGGTCACTGAATCAAATCGCGACTCACTACATCCATATTAATCACCGATCTTTGCATTAAATTACAGCTTTATAAGTTACAGTGATATTTGGTGTGTCCTTTGGTGAGTTGTCATGTGATCGTGTTCTTTGTACTGAACAGATTGTGGAGCGACCACCAGCCAAGGAGGAGAGACAGAGCAGGAGACGTCATCCTCCTCCAGACAGTATCCTCCTGCAGCCCAGCCAACAGGCCCACAGGTAAGTCAGAACTGCACAGCTGCTCAGCTAGCAAAAGAGCAAACTCCCGTACCAATGTTGATGGAAGACATTTCTTCAGTGAGAAACATTCATCCACACCTCCGATTCGCACGGTTGGCTACACACGCTGCGTAAGAAGCTCGACATACATACATACATTTATCTTCCTTTTGATGGTCAGTCAGATGGGTCAGAAACGTTGATAGACCTACACTATACAAAAATCTAACCAATATTACAATTTATTGCTATTTACTCAGTGTAAGCTAACTGACTGGATTTGTATTTATTTTACAGCCCTTTATCAATCCACTTCTGGATGAAGGCCTCCTCACGCCTTTCAGTCATCGGGGTGTATGAACGTATTTCGCTACGCTGGTCAGTGTGAATGGGTGAAGAGGTGCCTGGGACCAGGGCAGATATCACTCGCCATTCAGTCAAACTCAAGTCACAGCTTTCAGAGCGCAGTACACTCACCAATGTTGCCACCACTCCACCCCACAGACTGGACGACCTCTGCCTATTGTAATGACTCTATAAGTGGTCCCTGCACCTACTCTTTTGCGGCTATCTGGAACGCTCTTCCTTCCGATATTACGAAGCCACTGAAGCTATGCACTTTTAAATCGAGATTGAAACCTCACTTCTTTCGAACTGCTTTTTGTGTTTAGTTTGTTGTCATTTTCCCGCACCTCCAATTAGCACGGTTGGCTATATACGGTGCGAAAGAAGTTCAAAATGCATAGACACGTGTGTGCCCTCCTCAGCTGGTGTCCCCGCTTCTGCTGCCCTTCGGCATGGCGGGAGTGGGCTCGGCGCTGGGCAGTGCAGCGGGACAGGCGGTTGGCGTGGGGCCTCAGCAAGGCATGGTGCTCACTCTCCCGGCCGCCAGCCTGGCCAACATGCAGGGGCTTGCGGCGGCGGCAGCGGCGGCCAGTGGAATCCTCGCACTGCCCCTGCACAACATGCAAGGTAGTGGCGCACACGGCGCTCTGCGCTGCCGCGTGTGCACGTGCACGTTACAGCCCTTTTGTCTATCCACTACTGGATGAGCACCTCAGCCACACTGTGCGGTTTGCTGGTGTTCTTTGATCATGCTTCATCATGCTGGTCAGTGAATGTGGGGAGCATGGATGTAGGAGTTTACTCCAGTACAACAATGCATGTTGACTGAACTGTTGACAGTGTTGCATTGCAGTAGCCTGCAGCACTGTGTTGTGCTCGGTGGTTGGCCATTCAAGCAAAAAATTCCAGCTCAAACCTGCTGCACTTATGAGATCTGATGAGATCAGGTGCATTTCAGGTGATTTTGAGAGGTATTGCTACAAAACCTTTCCTCTGAGCATTCCCATTGCATTATCTTGCAACTGAGATCTTCCACAAAAATTCTGCCAAGCTAAGTTAACATTATAATGCAGCAATTTATTTTCATACGTTGATATAAAATTAGATTTCAAATCATGGTAGGTTTATACTAAGAATAACTCTATCCCATGAAAAGGGCAAGCACGATATGTTTTGAAATCAAAGATATCCACTTGATTTTTTAATTTATATATATTTTAAACACGGCTATTGCGCTCAAATCGGGACCAATTTTTAAATTTGTGGCATCATCTTAAATAATCTGAAACCTTCTTTACCTCACGTCTCTCACTCCAGGATAGTGAGGACAGCTCGCAAAACTTGCCTATCTGGTCCAAGAAATCCTACACTCACTCGTACGCGACAGGTCTTTTTATGTGTTTTTTTCTGAGTGAAAGTTGCTCAGGCGTTTCAAGTCGGCTAACCCCACCTTGCCCCCGCCCGCCATCCCCCACCCCCCAAAAAAATATCGGCTCGATTCATCCCTGGCGTGGCAATAGGGATAAATGTACCTGACACTGCATTTCTGGTTCTAGTCGGATTCCCTTGACACCCGTTGCCATGGAAACCAACGGTTTTGGCCCAACTCTTGGGTCTTTTGGGCCAGTCTTGGGATCTGACGTCATTAAAATATGAGCTCCCCCCGCCCGGCATGCGTCTCCGCATCGTGTGAAATGGAGCGGCGCGTGGAAACACGGGCATTTCGCGAGCAGAATAAGCGCATCTGCTGTCCCGATGTATGTTCGGACGCGCGCAGCGTGGAGACCAGACGTGCACATGCGCGAGCTCCCTCTTCTCGCTTCACGGGTTACAGGTCCTGTGGGGGGTCACAGGTCAAGGAGTTTTTTTACGTAAAAAATGAACGTGACGGGTTCTCCCCCCCCACCCCTCCACTGAATATGATTGCAAATTGCTTCATACTCAATATGTCATGTAATCAAACATGTGACGAAACATTGACAATGTATTGTGTGACTTTTGGAATCAGTTTGGCCAAATCAGTGGCCTCATTATTTTTCTGATAAACACTTAAATGTATGTGTAAGTAATAGACATCAACCAGCAGTTAGAAATGTCAAATGATTTTCTTTGTTACTGACCATGCAGTTCAAAACTTGTATTCAAAGATCACATTTCAAGATCATATTAATTTCAAAAAAATCCAGATTTTCATAGCCAAGCTAAGAGACTCCTACGAGCCCAAAGACAAAGCAATACACTTGATAGGGCATGGAATATGAACAAACAACGAGTAGGTACACATATTTTGGGGAGTCAGTGAGGACAATGTCATGAGACTTAGAAAAAGGACTCCCTCATCATGGTCATTTTTTTAGTTTCTAGATTACGCAGGTGCCACCGAGTTCCTTCACGGAACACTACAGATGGCGGAGCTCATCTGACACTTTTGGGGGAATACATTTCCATACTATCAATTATGCTTCCGATAAGCTCAGTGTTATTTTAAACACACCCGTAGGCTCCTGCACATGCCTGGGTAAAGCTTGGCAAAATCCTGGATAAAAGTCAATGAATGTGATTTGTGCCTCTGTGGCTTTTCCATTACCATATGATTATATTTTGCGCACACTTGTGCCAAATGGTTTGAGCATTTATCTATACTTTTTAAGCCACAGCCAGTGACTTAAACAGCAAACCACAGATATGTTTGGACAAAACAACCTTATCGGTAGTATTTTAGTTTATCTGTTAAATGTACATTTCCAAATCGCTGTGATGCACTTGATATATATGGGAAAACATGGTCACTCAAATTGTTTGTATGAGCACACATATTTATTTAAGTAACCAAATAAATTTTAAAAAACATGTAACTGCTTGAGATTCTTCCATAAAGACCCTGATTTTTACTCTTGAGTGAGACAGACCGTACGAATCGTATGGGATACCTGGTGTGTATGCAAGGCCTTTGTCGTACAAAACCACACACTGCTTCTTGTTAGAAGCACGGTGGCACTTTTGAGGTACATGTGATAAAAGTCCAGAAAGGGCCCCCCTTGAGTGCAATAACGGGACTCTGTAAAGAACTCGAGCTAATTAGTGTTCTCTTTACTGCAGAAATGTAAAGCCGTTGGCCAGTACTAGTCTTGTTAAAAGACAACCTTGCAGGAATACAAGCTGAGTGGACCGTTCTCATGAACAAAATTAGGAAAGGCATGCAAGTGTACAGAGGGCAGCAGCATTAGCCAAATGACCCTCGAAAAATGAGATAGAAAATGAGCATCAGTGTTATTGCCAGTGCTACTGAATGCACTGGCACTGATTGAAATGGCTTTTTTTATATTGGTGTAGAAGCCAAGTCTGAGCTCACACCACTTAATTGAAGGTGACCACGGTGTCTTGAATGACTTTGTTGTTCAAAAGACTTAAGAGAAAATCAAGCCGTTACAGACCACTCTGCGGTAACAAATTTGCCATTAGAAGTAACAGATCGCTCTGCTGTTTCAACGTTTACGGATGAGTGTAAGCGGTGGATGCTTTTTTTTTATTTCTCGCCCCTGGGTCTAAGCGCACAGCCTGCAAGTTTTGTCCACATCCATGAAAGTCGAAGACCCACTCTTCCGACCGCACGCATTAGCGTTCAAATTAATTGCCTGTTAAATGGGGGGTTATTGATCGACGCGGCTTCAACCACACGTCATGCGGGTGAACACTCGGCCAGCCTGCCGCAGAGAGCTTTGCGCGCACAAAGTGGTTTGTGGTAGGAAGTGTGTTGCTGCCAAAAATAAAATAATTTATAACTGCGGTGCAAATTGTCACAGATGTGCTTGAAACAGTCATCGGATGCTCCAACGTTTTTTCTTTCCCATGTATACTTATTCCCAAGGCACTGCACACACACGTACGCATGTAACCTCTCAATAATTGTAATTGCCATGCTTTATTATATTTACTGCACTTTCCCAAATTCTGCACTCAAAATAGGAATCCGTCTTCAGATTATCATTGGTGCATCTAAGCTCAAGAATCGCTCAGGAATTAATTGCATAAAATATTTACAGGTAATTCTGCAAAGTTAAATGTAACATCATTATCTGCGGAGACAAAGGCGGTTGGGTGTCATACTGGCTACACGCCCCAGTGTGATGTGCCAACCTTAATAGGTGGTCGCTAATAGAGCGTGTTTATTGTATGGGTGAATGTCAGACTTCAGTTTCAATGTCCTTTCAAAGTGTGGAGCTGAATATGATGCAAAGAAAAACACTGCATGTCAAAATAAATCCACTTCTAGAATGTAAATATTTTAAACATAAAGTGGAGGTTTAGTAATTTCTTCAATGCAAGTCAAGGCAAATCAATACATATGGAGCATTCCAAGCATGCACGATGGTCAACTGGTTAATTTAACAACAGAACTAATAGATTGGGTCTGTAGACTATAAGGAGACACTATTCCTTGGCAATTCAAGAGTAAATTTGTGTTTACTACTTTCAAAAGCATGTTACGAACTTTAGTTTTTTTAACCTCAATATTTCACTGCATAAAAAAAGTTTTTCACGATAAATCCTTTATATGCGTGGCGGCTACAGTCCTCTCGTCCTCTGGCTTGAGATGGCTGCCACCTATGAGTCAGATGATTGTCTGCCACCATTAAGCAATTGGTAATTAAATATTTATTTATTTTTCCCTAAACAGTGTACAATTTTGGAAAAAATTTGACGAAAATTAATTGTCACGCACAACGAGTCTGTGTGCAAAATGTCAGCTCGATTGGATCACGGGAAGTGGGTTAAAAAACGACCGAAAGATTTGCACGGTCGTAAGCAAGCAAGCACGCAAGCAAGTGAACTTAATATAAAGGATTTAAAAAGGCACATCTTCACTTACAAAAATATCAAAGGCAGCAATTCATATAACCTATGGTGCTCGAAGCAAAACCCATCATTCTTTAAAGTGTGCAGGTTTTTACTGAAAATCAGATAAAGATAAGTGTATACGACTATATGTTGTTTATTATAATAATATTTATGTTCTTGTATTTTATTATACATCAGGAAAGATGTCCCACTGACGTGGGCACAACTTTCCGAAGACACACTACTGGTTGTCTTTGTTTAATGTTCTGATGTGAAGTCACAAGAGCAGGAATACTTAACTCACTGAGATAATCATGATCACAGTGCCATATGAATATCACCTAAAGCTGTAGGTTATAGGAAGCCCAAAGGTCCGCTTTTATAATGGGTCAGTAAAGCAAGATGAGGCTTTCAACAGGACAAAATAAACGAACAGAGAAATAGAAAGTATATTCTCGACAAATGAAGGTGGCTTCATAAATATCCTCGCAACCTTTAGCCGAATCAACTTTTGAATAATTAATCTCAGTCTAGAGGTGGCATAAACTCTTCCTGAGGCTGAGGAATAAAAGGCACAATAGAGTTTTCTCCTTGATTTTCCATGATAACACTTTTCAGTCACGAGGTCCAAAATAAACAACGCGATGTGCCCATTGACACAGGTGAGACCAAGCTACTCTGCGCTTTCCTGCTGGTGTTTAAAAAAAAAAGCAACTCCATAACATCCACTCATAGAGCAACCCTTTGTGTGCCAGTTTCATGGCCAAATTAATTTCGGTGAGTCCCCT